TTCTGCTGTCTGTTGTTCTGTTGTCGGTGTTTCTTTGTCTGAATTTGGCACTAATCACATGTTGTGTGGTATCGGCGTTTGGTATCGGGGCATTTGAACGAGTACGAGTACAGGAGCTCAGTATCGGGCCGGTATCGGTGCATCCCTACCAATAGAGCATATTTGTGGAAGAAACTAAAGATCAAGATTCACAAGAGGGTCCACCAGAATATTTAAGATTTATGGTTTGTTCATACAGGAAGCGACTTTCAAGCTGTCATAGCAAATAAAGACTTTTCCACTAATTAATGAATACAGTTTCAACAGCGTGTTCAATACTTTTTTTGTGTTATTCAGCTATTTTTTGTCTTTTGGAAGCTTCATTTAAAATCCTTCAAACAGAAGTTGGAGTGAAGCGATCTTTATATAGGCGGAGCAAAATACTTCATCGCTCCGTCTATAGCGCATTGTGATTGGATGTTTACGCTGTCAATACAGGAGACAAACCAATGGGCCACTGGCTGCTCGCTGTCCCTGCGTGATGGTCCTCGGCAAAAAACATTCTGTCTGCCCCTTAAGTGCGTCGGCTCACCGGGAAAATGCCCGGTATGCCCGATTACCAATCCAGCCCTGATGATATTGTACAAGTGTACTTGTAGACAATCCCCCAGCGTTTACTCTACTGCTGTCGTTAGTCATTGCCTCAGCCCCTGTACAGTCTCATTTCTCACAATATTGCTAAACCAGTTGCGCTCTGAAATGAATCCAGTCAGTCAGATGCCCCACACAGTCAGAAAGTTTATATTGTCCATTGGCTTCTTAATAAATGACTTCAAATAGGCCCCATCAGTTCATGTTCTAACTATACAGTACATGATGTCTCTCTGCACCTCGTAATTTATCTGTTTCCACGAGTGTAAATGCTAGTTTGATGTGTCATGTGATTTATCAAATATTTTATTAACTTGTCAGAACCAGATCAATTACACTACTGATAACAGTCCTGTTAGCATGTAACCATGTTTAAAATTATTCATATGAATATAGCTTGCTATTAATGACTTGCTTTTAATATTGGATTCATTTAACATTTAATTATACAGCATCTTTACAGAGGCTGCTTTTACGGTCTAAAAAAAAACAGTAATGTATAAACCAACAAGTTGCATGTAATGTAATAATATTTCCTTCCTTTCTGTCTTACAGGATTACTCACAAATTGTGCTGTCCTTCTTTTTCAGGTCTACAATATGCATCTTTACAGAGGCTGCTTTTACGGTCTAAAAAAAAAGCAAACCCACAGTAATGTATAAACCAACAAGTTGCATGTAATGTAATAATATTTCCTTTCTTTCTGTTTTACAGGATTACTTGCGGATAACGCTGTCCTTCTGCATCATGCACAAGGACTCACCTCTTTAACTCTTCATCACGCACACATACAGAGATGATACCTGGATCAGTGTTAAGACTTTGCAGTGGTATGTTTTTTTTTTGCAGAAGATGCAACTTTGTTTTAATTATAAGCTTATAATGAATACATTTTGACCATCCAGCAACCCATATACTGTATACAGAACCAGTAATGAAAACAATAGTTAAAAATAGTCTCTTTCGTATTGATAAAGCATTGTGTTCTCCTTTTCAAGCTTCATACAGTAAACTTTACTTGGTGTCTTCCTAATGCTTTTATCATAAAAAGCATCATAAAAAGCTTTTTTTCCCCAAGATGTTTAGCTAATTAAAGAAAATCCACTATGATGTGAATGAGAACTTGTGGCCAAGACAGGGTTGATAAAAACATAGAAGTGCAGTGAGGAACACTCAGTTTATATTTTACTGTATGCATACTGTAGTTTGTTCTTATCTATTTTTTTTCTTATTTAAAGTTTTTTGGAAAACCTGTTGTGAGTTGATTATTTCATCAATAATTTTCAAATTGTGTTTAATGATTCCAGTGTCTGTACTTTTCTCTCTAGTCTATTACAATGGTGTATGAATGTGTAGAACCATAATGAAAGCTGCATCATGTGTTTTGAACAACTATATTTAATGATTGTACTAAACACTACACAGTGAAACTGGATATCTTGTGTGTGGGTGATCTAAAGTAATATTCCTATGATATTTCATAATAAATGAGTTTTTGAACCAATGCTTTTGCAAATGCAAGGCTTCTTTAAATATATTAATGCAATATGCAAGGTTTTGAACATTGGGCAGCCTATGTTACAATTAATTACTGTTTTGAGTTTTGTGTCTAGTTTTGAAAAATGACATCAAGGCTCTGAATTCGGTGACAAAATGATTGTAAAAAACCTCCTTTCTGAAACGGGCCTCTTGACATGAGTCACAAACAGACTCGAAGCCTCCGGATGTTTGTGCTTCAAGCTGCCCAAAACAGCAGCTGTATGAAACACTGCACACGCCCTTCACTGATGCTCATTGCATTAAATTAACTTTCAAACTGTTTCTGAAACACACAGAGGACGAGCTTAATCTTTTAAAGGAGCGGAGCGGCGTGTCCCTCGCAGCCCTGAAGAAAGCTCTCGCCGCCGGCGGCTACGACGTGGAGAAGAACAACTCCCGCGTCAAGCTTGCCATCAAGAGCCTGGTGACTAAAGGCACCCTGCTGCAGGTCAAAGGGACCGGCGCCTCCGGCTCCTTCAAGCTCAGCAAGAACCAAACTGAGACCAAGAAGAAGCCGGCGAAGAAGGCGGCTCCTAAAGCTAAGAAGCCCGCGGCCAAGAAACCCGCTGCTGCCAAGAAGCCAAAGAGCGCAGCGGCAAAGAGGCCCGCCGCTAAGAAATCGCCCAAAAAGGCCAAGAAACCCGCCGCTAAGAAGGCGACGAAGAGCCCCAAGAAGACAAAGAAGCCAGCAGCGGCCAAGAAAGCAGCCAAGAGCCCCAAAAAAGCCAAGACTGCCAAACCCAAGGCAGCAAAGCCTAAAGCTGCAAAGCCCAAAAAGGCAGCCCCCAAGAAGAAATAAATGTTTTACTCCCCAACGGCTCTTTTCAGAGCCACCCACTAACTCTAAAGAAAGACCGCAGTTTGCCTATTGTGGAAGTAAATTACTGTAAGACTGCATCTGAGTTTACCTCGACACAATGTTATACATGCTGACTGAATTTAGAAAGTTATTCAAAGTTATAAACGTTTACTAATACGAACAGCTTTAATGGATAATCGATCTAAATTTAATTAGGTTAAAAACTATTTATTAATGCTTTTTTGTATTGACTTTTTTTGTTAATTATTATTTTAAACTCATTCAAGCCCCATCACAATTTCTGTAATGTTTTCTGTCATGTGTTTAGTAAAGAGCAGCACGATCAGAATGCGAACTGTGGGGGCGTGGCTTTGGCGGTGGGTATTGGAGGGAAGTTCAGTGATTGGTTTAAAATTTACAAGGCTCTAAACCAATGGGCGACTGGCACGCTCGTTTATAAACAGTATAGCTGCGCGCACAGATTTATAATTTCTGCTTCGTAAACGTAGGATTTTTCTAACCAACAATGAGTGGCAGAGGTAAAACCGGCGGTAAGACCAGAGCGAAAGCTAAGACTCGCTCCTCCGGAGCAGGGCTGTAGTTCCCTGTCGGTGGTGTTCACAGTGCTACACTTTTTGCGTTGTAGCCACGCTGGACACGAGTGGTGCTAATAGAGCGAATTATAATAAATGTTACTGTGTACACAATTAAGTGAGCGGAACAGCACAAAATTATCTTCAAGTGGAAAAATAAAGAATCTAACATAAAGGTTCACTGAAATAGGAAGATAAGAGAACATCTTATAACATTTATGGTAACATCCTCCACCCCACTGTCACGTGTAGCGTAAATACACAAAGTATATTTTCATTAACTGATTCTAACAGAGCAGCCTTCTGGTGATCATATATGTAAAGGGAAACAAAAACAGGACACTGATAGAGAACATTTGAGCGGGAAACGCAGACCGCCGCTGTTTGTCGAAAACAGGAATCGCACTGTCATTGGCCGCCTCACGCTGTGACGTGAACACAACAGCCAATCAAATGCCGCTGGTGACGCACCGCCCAATGCAGAAGAGTTTAAAAAGCCCCTGCATATGAGCAAAGTCATTCTGTTTAAGAGATCAAGGCAGAGAGCTCGAGAAAATGGCGAGAACCAAGCAGACGGCGCGTAAATCCACCGGCGGCAAAGCCCCGAGGAAGCAGCTGGCTACCAAAGCCGCCCGTAAGAGCGCTCCAGCCACCGGCGGCGTCAAGAAGCCTCATCGCTACAGGCCCGGCACCGTGGCTCTGCGGGAGATCCGTCGCTATCAGAAATCCACCGAGCTGCTGATCCGCAAGCTGCCCTTCCAGCGTCTGGTGCGAGAAATCGCTCAGGACTTCAAGACGGACCTGCGCTTCCAGAGCTCCGCGGTCATGGCCCTGCAGGAGGCCAGCGAGGCTTATTTGGTCGGTCTGTTTGAGGACACCAATCTGTGCGCCATCCACGCCAAGAGAGTCACCATCATGCCCAAAGACATCCAGCTGGCCCGCCGCATCCGTGGAGAGCGCGCTTAAACGCATGATTTCAAAAATCTTTAAACCCCAAAGGCTCTTTTCAGAGCCGCCTTAATTTGTCTAACAAAGTGGTGTTTCCTCTTCTCTGTTGCCGAACTTGTTAAAACCCACTCAAATCCGACTTATATGTGACCTGAATATGCAAAATATACAGCGAGCTCAAATGTTTTTCGTTAGTGCAATGCTTCTGTAGGAAGATCAGGAAAATGCTGATGTGTTCTGCTAGTGGATATTAGAACTATTTTTATTTATTTTTTTTTTATGCTTTTTTCTCTGCAGGTGTAATACTGAACAAATGTAGAATGGTGATTCAGTGCTGGGTAGATTATTTACAAATAGTGTTCCTGTACTGATTCCAAATTACATGACAAAAATAGTTGTTGGTAATATAATCTATTACATTACGCATTTTAGGAAATATTATCAGACTGCTTTTAGATTACTTTGGCCTATCTTGTTTATTGCATTGATTTAAATCGGCTATATTTAATATCTTGTTTGATATAAAAAATACAAAGATTAAGAAAATACATTATTCATTGTTATTAACAACGTGAAGTGCATTAAACATTATGTCAAGGTTTCCCAAACTGGGGTTTGTGAAGGAACTCCAGGGGGTTTAAAAAAAAAAAAAATCGAATTAAATCAAGTTAAATTGAAATATGTCATTATAAAATCAATCAAAATAAAACACTTAGTAAAAAAATGAAATATGTGTTTACCTGCATGTCATATGATAACCAATGTCAGAGGACCATGGACATTCAAATATGATACTTAAAGGTGTAATAGGTGATTGTCTTCAGAAAAATTTGTTGTTATGCTGGTTGAAAGTCTCTTCACATCCCGATAGCAATCATTAAGTTAAGTGGTCTAAATGTATTTATCTGTATTTATATATTCTGTGGAAGGCATAGGACCAAGAAATGTTCGTCCAATCAAAACGCTCGGTCCGAACGTTTTAATAAGCTTTCCTACCTGCCTGTCAACTTATGTATCTGCATACCTCTGCACACCCGGTTCGCGCAGACAGGACACGTCATCAGCGCGTTCACGCACGCTGTGCAGACAGAGCGAGGATGGCAGGCAAACATCAACAACCCGATCTTCCTTCCTGGTATTGTAGTACTTTTAACATTTTCTCACCAGTGAATGACGCATGATGTAGCCCAGCGATTAATCCAGTCCTCGCGCCCCCCGCTCTGCATATTTTGAATGTCTCGCTTAGTTAACACACCCGATTCAGATAACCAGCTCGTTAGAAGTGAGCTACGTGCATGAACTGTGTTCCGATCGATATGATAACACAGTGTTCATTGCTCCCTACTCCCTGAGCAGGGGAAATCC